GGACCTATTGCTTTTGAAATGGATAACTAGTCTTTTTGAGTCGTGGCTGTACCACATGAAGTTTTTTTCGTTTGGCATAAAAAAATCTTCTAACTTGTAATATTGCTTTGTGATAGGATGATGAAGTATTTTCTTCTTTGAAAGAACATCTTCGCCATTTACAGGCTAGTTAATCTCTCCATTTGCTACAGTTAACATTTCATTTACATATCTTACTCTCTCTCTTTTTAATTTAAAATATATCTCTTTTTTCCCCTTTTTTTTAACATTTAATGTTTTAGGGTTTCAGAAGACGGAAAACCATAGAGTTTGCTTTGGAAAACCAGGTATTCATGGATGGGGCCTCTTTGCACGAAGAGAATTACAAGAAGGAGAAATGGTAACTTACTGTATTAATTTAATATGTTCGCTGAAGTGTAACATAAATTCTTACCCGCAGTTTCCTCTAAAAGACAATACATACATGCTTCTTAATCTTGTCTGCAGGTTGTTGAATATCGTGGTGAGCAGGTAAGGCGTAGTGTTGCTGATATGAGGGAAGCAAGGTACCGTTCAGAAGGCAAAGATTGTTATGTGAGTCTCTTGTTTAAGATTGTTTTCGATATCTGTCTGCACTGTACTCCAAGCCACTTATTATGTGCTGCTTTTCACATTGTGTTTGGATCGTATAGGATGAGATTTAATGGATTAGAATGTCAAAAAATAAAGAAAAAATAGTCTACCGAAAATCAACTCAGTTGTTGAACAATCTTATAATATTTGATAAGTTTTCAACTCACCCCATTATCGATAAAATTATGATAAAACTATTATTGTAACGCTCAGCCGCTTCAAGAATCAATGACTATCCTTACATGTTAATACGAGACTTTCAGCGTGCTTTATCTTCATTCACACACTTCATTGGAAAACTTCTTAGGAGGTCACTCATTCCAGAATTGCTTCGAGTCAAGCACACTTAACTATGAAGTTCTTTGTTATGGGCTACCAAAAAGTAGATGCATCTTGTTAGTATACGTAGTACTAATTAATTCTTATAAGCGATCCCCAACTATGCAATCTCATACCTACACAGTCTTTGGAATCTCTCTCTTTCGGGTGTCGATTCGATTCATTCATGTACCCCGCTGAAAGCCTACTAGAAGTCGTTTCTTGTCTTTGCCCTTTCGCACCGGCGATCACTCCCCGCCCTCGTTAGCTCCCTGGATGTTACAATTATAAGTTACATCATTTTAAAAATAGAATAATTATAATTTGGGATAGGATATTGTTACTACCAAATAATGTTACTACCAATGTTACTATCATATCTTAACCGTAGATTTCCGCAAATCAAACTTATTAATTAATTATTAATTAACAATAAATAATATCTGTTGATTGGCGAAGATCTACGGTTAAGATATGTTAGTAACATTATTTTGTAGTAACATTATTTTGTAGTAACGATATCCTATTCCTTATAATTTTTGAGTAATTTTCATATTCAGCGTTAGCTTTTTTTAATTAAATGTAATTATATTTTAATATTTAAAGTTTAATAAATTTTCAATTCTTATACAAAATTTCAAATAAAAATTATTTTAAAACAAAAAAATCAGAGCTTTCATAAAAATTCATTGAAAGATTGGTATAAAAAAATCTACGCAGATATATGTTTTTAATTCTTATTTTTTTGTTTTAAAATATTTACCATTTCAAAAAAATTATTTTATTTATTAGATTAAAAATTATGAAGTTATTAGGAGAATGAGAAATGTTGGAATAAGAACTAAATGATTTGTGAATGAAAATGAAAAGGTTTGGGTGTTTAATGTAAGAGGAGAATGGGGTGAGTTGGGTTAGAGGTATTTATAGGAGGAGAGTTAGGGATTGAGTGGATAGAATTGCACCACTTGACGCTATTCTGCAAGTGCTGCTAAGGAGAAGTAGCAACACTCGATTTAAAATTAAAAAAATGGAACTGGTGCGGGGGGATCTTAGACACCAAAATCGATTGTTTTCTCCCATTTTTTTTGGTTAAGCACCTCCAAATCTTTGTTTTCATGTAGCTTATCTTCTTTTTTTTCATAGCCTCCGTTTTTTTTATGAAGCTTCTGCTTTTTATTTTGTAGCCCTATTACAGAAAACAATCTTGTTCTTGTTTGTTTATTTTGAACTATATATTGCTAACAGCTCCTATTATTGATTCTTGCCTTGTTGATTGTTTTTTCTAAACCTACATTTTGATCTGTACCCACTTACACAGCTAGCTAGTTTGAATTGTCGTCTAGGATTCAAGTTTTGTGATGTTTATAATCCGTGTTGATCTTACGATTCACACGATCTTGCTACTCCCTTCCAACGATTTTGACTACCTTGGCATTGACCACCCCCAATTGAAAATATGTTTAGGATATTCAATCCAAACTCATAAATATTGGCTGAAAAAATGCCAAAATGGTCAGTTAGCCTTCATTTGTACTCATAGTTCATGTGGTTTGACTGCCTCTTTTAGACGACGGGTTCATGTTTACTGGTAGCATTAGGATTCGATGGACTACTGATCTTAATACCGAATGAAACAAATTATACAGCTATTCAAGATTAGCGAGGAAGTGGTAATTGATGCAACGGATAAGGGCAATATTGCACGTTTAATAAACCATTCTGTAAGTTATTTCTGATGAATCTTGTCTTTGGTTTTATACTGAAGCTAGTTGGTTTCCTTGTACTATAGTTCCCCAGCTGTTGAATCAGACTATGAATCTTGTATTACTGAAAATATTTACGAATCAATCTGACATGTTGCAGTGCACGCCAAACTGCTTTGCAAGGATTATGTGTTTGGGTGATCAGGAGAGCCGGATTGTTCTTATTGCCAAGACCAATGTTTCTGTTGGTGTAGAACTAACGTGCGGTTTGTTTTGTTGTGCTTGTATATCTTATTATGTATGTGTGTGTGCTCGTAATTAGCAATCATGCATATTGGAATGTGTCATACTGCATATCTAAAGTATGAAGTTTTGATTAGTCTGAGAAATAACCTTTTTTTAATCTCAATGTTGCAACAGGTATGACTACTTGTTCGATCCAGACGAACGGGATGAACTCAAGGTTCCCCTGCCTCTGTAAAGCCCCCAATTGTAGGGAATTTATGAACTAGGTTTCACATTGTTTCCGCCCGTGGAGCAATTGCAGTTACCAAACCTTTAATTTTTTTATATTTTTTTGAAAAACAAATTCTTTTTTCAATAAGTTCAATTAATTTGTATATCAATTTGTTATATAATGAAAGGGAGATGTATTTCTCCCGTAGAATATACATCTCCTGCTAGACTCACAAAAAAATATATAACTTTTTTTTTTCTAAGTGGTCCCACCATCATTTACTGTCAAATAAATCGCATTTCCCATAATAAAAAGGAAAATTTGCCAGCCATGAGCTGGCAGCATTTGTTGTAACATGCCACATGTTCCAGTATATTCTTCAATTTTATGACGCTTGACGCAATTTTCTTTTTAAAATTTTTAATTGAAGGGCCATGCCCAGTAGTTTCCCTATGTGATAGAAATCAAAGGTACAGTAAAGTACAAAACAGGATTTGATAAATTAATACTAATTAATCGACAGTCAAACCTGGGAAAGAAATTCAGCTGCTTTCGTTTTATCGTCATAATGTATCATTATCTGGATGACTAACATGTATAATGATTGTCAATTTTATTTATCAAAAAAAAGGGGGAAAAAAAATTGTGAATTTACTATAACACGGTCTGTAATAATAATAGGGAAAAAAAAGAACAATAATACTAACCACGCAGCCATTGATGATACCAAGTGAAAAGCTCATTATAATATAATACTCATTCACAATCTAAAAAGAAAATTGGAATTGTTCATAATGCATGAGACTTGGGTTATGATCGGCTTCCTTTGCTGTTGTTAATGGTATTATTACATCAAATACAGCCCGCAATCAGCAATAAAACGCAGAAAAAGAAAACATTAGTCTCTCTTCCCCAGGTCAAGATACAAGTGACTGCTAAACAAAAACGTAGAAACAATCCGTGAAAAAGCCTGGCAGCACGCTCCTGCAAAGTACCTCCACATTTTAACCCACGTGACTGCAGTTCGGATTTCAACTTTTCCAAGCCAAGAACCTGATAAGGTCAAAGAAATGGGAAATACATAAAAATCAAGAGGCTAATTAAATGGTTACTTGATTAGTGGATTTAGTTTATATGAAGTTACTTGTATTTTCACGTATGTCTAAGACTATAAATTTTACACACAACATTAAATTCAATAAGTTTGAAAAAAAATTACTTCCAAACACCAAAATATCAGTAGGACTTCTGGAAAATATAGGTCGCTTAAAAGTTACTGTTTATATCTATTTTGAAAGATTAGATTCATCAAATCAAATTCAATACATAAATAAAGCAGCATATAAACACAGCATAGTGCACGACAGAAGTATTGGATATGTTCTGAAAATATACCTCAAGTTCTGCAGTTGAATTAAAAACATCAAAATTCAGAGGCTCCTCAAATGCTGGAACACTAGTGCTTGGCGAGCTTTCTTCATGGACTGCTACTTTTTGCTCCAGAGACCCATCAATTTCCATATCATCATATTGGCTTGCACCAGCCACAGTTTCAGAGCTCATAACATTTGAGGCTTGACTAACATTGCCATCAAACTTGTCAGATACAGCTTCGTTGCAATCCGTGAATCCAGAAACTAGAGACTCAGAACAAGGCATAGGAGCAGCCTCAATCATCGCACAATCTATCACAGGTTCAGCAGCAACACTCAGTATGACCTGAATAGTTTCATTACCCTGAGGTTCAACAGTTTCTTTATCTTCTTCCGATCCACTTTCACACGATCCTGCACCAGAAGAGTCTCCATCCTGTTTCCTACCAGTTACTGAACCTGAACTGTCTTCGGCCTTATTTGAATCTGACTCATTTTGACCACTCAATAAAATGGATTTCTCATTTTCCTCCACCTCATCGGAATCATCACTATCACTTCCATTCAATTTTCTCTTCCCCATCCTAGAAAATCAAACCAGAATAAAATATCAACATCTATCAGTACATAAAATCCTTTTAGTAGTGCATGTGTGGGAGAATGAAGTATAAACAATCCTCAACAAGCCAAAGTCTAGCCACTACTCAACAATCCATAAAATAATTTCATGTTCAACAAACAAGTAAATTTAGGTTATCACTTACCATATCTTCATCTTCTTGGCATCTTGGGGAGGGGCAGCTTCTGAGAGTTTCCGCTTACAATTGAGAGCCTTTGCCTCTGCAACGCAACGTTCAGAATCCTCCCTATATATTTAGCAACGTTCAGAATGAAGTATAAACAATCCTCAACAAGCCAAAGTCTAGCCACTACTCAACAATCCATAAAATAATTTCATGTTCAACAAACAAGTAAATTTAGGTTATCACTTACCATATCTTCATCTTCTTGGCATCTTGGGGAGGGGCAGCTTCGGAGAGTTTCCGCTTACAATTGAGAGCCTTTGCCTCTGCAACGCAGAGTTCAGAATCCTCCCTATATATTTAGCAACGTTCAGAATGAAGTATAAACAATCCTCAACAAGCCAAAGTCTAGCCACTACTCAACAATCCATAAAATAATTTCATGTTCAACAAACAAGTAAATTTAGGTTATCACTTACCATATCTTCATCTTCTTGGCATCTTGGGGAGGGGCAGCTTCTGAGAGTTTCCGCTTACAATTGTGGGTCTCAACATTATTCACACCCTTCTTACCCTTTTTTTTCATTTGCTTCTTCAGAAACTCTCTGCCACTTTCTCCAACTTCCTCTCCTCTTCCCCAGCCTTCCACTCCTCCAACCTCTTCTCAGCGTTCACGTGTCTCAGCCTTCGCCCACTCATATCCCTGCAAGCATCGAAATTGTTCGTCTTCTTCTGCCCAGCCTTCGTCGCCGCCCCACGCAGAAGCGATCCGAACCCTCCCTTCCCTCCTTTCAGCCGCAGCAGTAGCCGCACCGACGGGAACATGTTCCCGCCTTCCGGAGAGCACCATATCGCCGATTTCTCGTCGTTCAGGTGCCGACACCCCGTCACCAGACTCTGGTGTTGCGTCGGGATTCCGGTGAGTTCGAATAGGCGATCCTTTATGGAATTCGCGTATGCGATCGGAGATGGGAATAATAGGGTTAGGGTTTTCCCGTCCAAGTGCTTCACGAACATGTTGTACATCTTGTTGTTGTCGTTGTTGTACTCCATAGTAGAATCGGGGATTCGGAGAACAAAGGCTACAATATACGAGGATTTGGGGGAATTTTCGGAAATTAGGGTTTAGGAGAAATTGAGGTTCGAGAGAGAGACAGAGATGTATTATATAAAGGATTGTAATCAAATCCAAATCCAAATTAAGTTTGTGAGACTGTATTTCACGCAGATCTTAACACTTGGAGAATACGTAAGCCGAGTGCGTATAATTCAATAAATATATTTTAACCATAAATTATACTCTATTTTATTTTAATTTAATTAAGTATTAAATTAATATCGTTAAGTGAATTAAAATATACTTATAATTATCTATTTAATATTTTATATTAATATATTTTTAAGATTATTGTAGGTTTTGTTTTTTATTTTCAAAATAAAGTTGTCTTTTTAATTAAAAGATATGAAAAAGGTCATACGTATTAATATATTTATTTTGTATTTATTTTTTAAGTTTATTATGTTTATTTATTTTATTTAATTATTTAATAAATCATATCAGTGTTATTTTCTCATTTTGTTTCTTTTGAGAAGTTAACTAATTACTTTAGATAAATAATATTTTTAATAAGTAAGACATAAAATATTCCTTTAAATATACACATATAAGGATTCTCTGCAATGAAGTAAATACAAAGACAAATATATATATATATATATATATATATATATATATATATATATAAAGGAGAGTTCATATCTATTATTTTAAAGGAATTCCATTCTTTGACAAGTTTGCTGACGTGTCACTTTCTCCTTTACTTTCAGCTTTGTGTTCACACTATAGAATTTTAAAAATCTTTCCTTCTTTGATAAATCAGTGAATAAACTAAATATAAAACAAAATCAATTTTTCAAGATTAATTTGACGGACAAGATTTTCTGATTTAAATTAATGGTCAAGATTTGTTGTAAATGTTAGTGGCAGACAGCTCATTAATGTATATCCGACTGCTCTTTTAATTTCCAAATTTGAATTTGAATTTTAACTTGAAATTTTAAATTTGATTTTTGAATTCTGAATGGTGACAGGCAACTCATTAAATCTATGGCATCGAAATCTGGAATTTTATTAACCTAATTTAGTTTTTCCAAAAAAAATAACAAATTTCGTACTAATCAACAAAATCCCAACCTACAAATTTCGTACTTATTTTCTATTATTCTAAAGGAATTCCATTCTTTGGCAAGTTTGCTAACGTGTCGCTTTCTCCTTCACTTTCAGCTTTGTGTTCACACTACAAAATTTTAAAAACATTTCCTTCTTTGTTAAATCAGTGAATAAAATAAATATAAAACAAAATCAATTTTTCAAGATTAATTCGATGGACAAGATTTTTTGATTTAAATCAATGGTCAAGATTTGTTGTAAATGTTGATGGCATACAGCTCATTAATGTATATCTGACTGCTCTTTAGATTTCCAAATTTGAATTTGAATTTTAACTTAAAATTTAAATTTGATTTTTGAATTCTGAATGGTTACAGGCAACTTATTTAAATCTATGGCATCGAAATCCGAATTTTTATTAAACTGATTAAGAGGAATTCAAAAAAATTCTTTTGTTTTCCAAAAAAATAACAAATTTCGTACTAATCAACAAAATCCCAACCTACAAATTTCGTACTTATTTTTAAAATTTAAAGTTTTGATTTTTTTTAACCTTAATTAACAGTAATTCAAAAATTTACAATTTTTGAGAAATTAAAAATATTTTCTAATTACTCGAAATAACCCAACCTACGGTTTAAATGTATAAATTTGATTAACATATTTGTTCCTTATTTTTGCAGTTTAAAATTTGAATTTTTATTAACCTAGATTGGGTGTAATTCAACAAATTTCTGTTTTTTTCCATAAAAAACGCAATTTTAAATACTAAAAACATCCAACCCTACAATTTAAATTCTAATCTAAAAACAAA